GGGTACATGTGTCTTTTCGAAACTGGGCTCCTGCATTTTTTTGGGAGGAGGGGGAATAGTATGATACTCTTTTATTTAAAACCACTACAATTTTGTTTTTCCTTGGATCAAATCTGGTGACTCAGTATTAATAATCACTCCAGACTCTCTTGAAATGGGTGATGGACATTGTAATGGCTTGGATCTATGAGTTTTTCCTAAAATAACTAAAAGTGGTAAAAGGTAGCCAGGAGAACAACAATAACAAAGGGGTATTGTAGTCTCTGTAAAGGCAGGTCTCACCTGTGTGCTCTGCGGTGCAAGGTGCACACTGTATTGCTGTGCTTGCCTTTTCCCTGATGAATGGGCAGTGCAGTTCAAACAGATCTACCCACGTATCAAGAGGAAATTACTTCCTTTTAGGGTTTTGTCTTTTGCAAAGAAGCCATATTTAAGCTACATAATGCCTTATAATAAGTACTCGTGATAGATATTTATCTTAAATAAGTTGACTGGGTAATTGCTTCATTCTATCCCCAAATAACAGGGACCATAGGGTAAATTTCTAGGAGTGGAATTCCTGGGTCAAATGGTATTTCTATTTTGAGTTTTTTGAGGACCCTCCATACTGCTTTCCACAATGGTTGAACTAATTTACTTTCCCACCAGCAGTGTAGGAGGGTTCCCCTTTCTCCTCATCCTCACCAGCATTTGTTCCTAGTCTTTTCTATGGTGGCCATCCTAACTGGTGTGAGGTGATATCTCATTGTGGTTTTAATTTGCATTTCTCTCATAATTAGTGATGTGGAGCATCTTTTCATGTGCCTGTTGGCCATCGGAATTTCTTCTTTGGAGAAGTGTCTGTTCAGATCCCAGGAGGGACCCCATCTTAAGGCTGAGATTCCATTTCAAACACCAGGGAGTCAGGACATAAGACTCCCAACATACTACATGGTAATTAGCCAACGACTGACCCTATCCTAAGGCAAGGCGAGCAGTGCCACCACATGTCAGCCTATGTTCTCCTGGCCCTTTACCCCATTCTTGAAATCCTTGACAGACAGACTCCTAAGCCTTTAAGTGCACCTCCTCACAGAGGCTGCTGCCACTCCCCTTTCTCCGAGTGTGTACTCTGCCTTAAAGATTTCTCGCTGCTCAACTTACTGTGTGTTGTCTCTGCGCTCTTCAAAGCCTATAGGGAGATTAATAAGAAACCCCTTTGGCCAGTGGTAAGCATCTTTGTTATGTCACTATTTCACTCAATTTTCTAGACTTAAGCACAAGTCTTCCCTCTGTCCTTCTTCAGACAAGCAGGGAAGGGCTCCTGGGAGCTCTGATCTGGGCCTGCAAGCTCCCACGTCCTGGGTGACTGGGGCAGGACTGCAGTGTACCACCTTGCTCTTTAGCAGCCTGCCTGCAAATCTCCTTTCGTTGCCTTTGGGAAGTTCTCAGCATAACCTCACTCCACCCAGTGCTCTGCGGCTCCCCCAGATCCTGGGGCGGTGGGGGCCTAGTTCCCGTGCTGTGCGGATTCAAGAAGGCCCTGGAGGGATCCGCCCTGCGCTGGGCAGGAGCTCAGTGAGCTTCCCCTTTCCTGCTCTCTGCTGCCTACACAACTGCCACTCTCACTTTAATGAATTCCTTCCACACCTACACTCATGTTCGAGAATTCTTTCTTGTTCAGACTCAAGAACCCTCCCCAATCCAGAGTGAGATTTCACCTAGTGCACGGGGAGAGACCTCCCCAGACACAGCTGCCCGACAACAGGTAGTAAGTAATGTCCCCATTTTCATTCTGATTGCTGAATATAGGATTCTTGAGTTTTTCTTTGAGCACTTTGGATGAGTCATCCTCTTACTTTCTGGCCTTCATCATTTCTGGTGGGAAGAGCCGGCTGCTGACTTTATCGGGGGCTCCCTTGTACCAGGTCGTTTTACTCTTCCTGCTTTCAAGCCTTTCTGTGTCTGATTTTGCACATTTTTATTATGATGTGTCTTGACTCTTGGCATTTATCCTACTTGGAACTCACTGAGATCCTTAGGCATGTAGGTTGCTTTTCAATAAATTGGGGGAGTTTTCAGCCATTACTGGATTCTTTCCCCGCTTCTCTCTCCTCCTTCAGGTGTTCTATGTACGTTGGGGTCCATGGCGGTGCCCAACGTCCTGAGGCTCTCCTGTTTCTCTGTTCTTTGGCTGTTTCAGTCCATCTATCTTCAACTTCATTTAATCTTTCTTCTGCTAATTCAGCTCTATGTTGGGAGCCCCTCTAGTGGGTTATTAGTATTATTTTTAAAGAATTTGTTGTTTTTTTCCAACTGCGGAATTCTCATCTGGTTCTTTTAAAAATAATTTCTCTCTGTTGATGGCCTCTCTCTGATGAGACATTGTCATCATCCCTTCCTTCAATTCTTTAACTGGTTTCCTTTAGTTCTGTGAGCATGTTTTTAATGGCTACTTTGCAGTCCCTCCTGACAGTCCTGACGTCCTGTCGTGCCCACAGGCAGTATCTATGGGCTATAATTCCTGTTACTGTGCATGCCTCATAATTGGCTGGAAATTGGACACTACAGACTATGTACTGGAGCAACTCTGGGTACTGGCCCCCCTCCTCTGGGGCTTACTGTTGTCTGTCTGTTTAGTGTTTGGTGGTATCATTTCCGGGAAGACTGTTCCTCCCCACCCCCCCTTGCAGTGTTGAGCCCAGCGCTGCTGCTCAAGGAGACACAACCCAGGGCGACAGGACCGTGTAGGGCTCTCCCCTTTCCCTGGCCACACCCAGATGTCAACCACTACTAACTGCCAGCCAATTGCTCTATTGTTTTCAACAATGCTTTAGGAATAAATTCCTCTACACGCAAACCCAGCCAAATTCTGGCTTCTTTGACAGACTCTTTTGAGGTCAGTATTTGATGTTGTTTTGACCCCAGCGGGGCGCCTCCCAGTTTTATTATTCCCTGGTTTTCTCTTGTGAACCAGCCTCCAATTTCACCTGTGTCTGGAATGTCGCCCCCATTTCCTTTTACCACTACTTCACTATTCTTGAGAATGTCCATGGGCTTGAACTTCTCCACAGTCTGTTGCAAATGAAGTCAGTTCCTTTGGGAGGAAACTAGGAACAATCTGTTTTTCTGACTTGCTTTTCTCGAGGCAAAATCTCTGAGCCAGGGTTCTGGAGCTGGGGGTGTGGACAATGGCAGACTTCTGGGTGACGTCCTGCTCTGGGAGCCCAGTGGGAGGTGGGGCAGCCTGCTGTCCTCTCGGCTTACCCCTTCCGATCTCACAAGCCAGGGCAAGTGTGCTCAGGGCCCGCATAGTCAGTGATGCCTTACCTGAGCCAGAGCCTCAGACCCACAGATGGGGACAGGGCAAAAGGCAGGCCCTCCCCTCAACCAGACTCCCCTGCTACTGAGCTTCAGCAGCAGGGGTCAGGGAGAGAGACACTGACGCTGCTTGTGGAGGGAAGCCCGGGTGCGGGGGGGGGGAGCCCGGTCCGCAGCCCCTGGCTGCAGCCGTGGGGGTCTGTCTCTGCCTTGCTGAGTGCGCAGGGCTGAGGGTCTTGGTTCAGACACCACTGACTCTTTTCTTACTGAATTTTCACATTTTCTTGGGCAGATATTTTGATTGCTGTTTGTTCTTAAGACCGTTCCCAGAGGCTTTAAGTAGTACTAGTTTGTTGTCACTTTTGGTTTTGTTTTTTGCTGATGCCCCCAGGTTTCCTGGGAGTCGCCGGCCCACTGCCTCCCGCTCCCATCCTGGCAGCTGGTCCTCAGGCTGTCCCGGTTTGGCTTGTTATTTTTGTTTGCTCCTTGGAATCTGGATCCCGAAAAGGGGGGCACAGCTGGCCAGTGCACATCTTGGGTCTCCCTGCCCTGCTCTTTGCCGGCCACCAGCCTTTCACATGTGGTTTTCCAGGATCTGGGCTTTGCTGCTGGCATGTGCTCTCTAGAAACCCGACCGGTGGCCCTGGCACCTCTGAGCCTGGTTTCTGCTGCAGCAGCAAGCTGCTCCCAGGACATCTGCCAGCATCTCCCACCGGCCACTCCAAAGCTCTCGCCACCCTGGGGCTTCCCTGAACCACTCGTTGTGCCCACAGACTGCAGTGTGAGGCCATCGGGAGCAGAGTCCCCTCCTCTGTCTGGGGGGCACTCCTCAGGCACATTCTGTAAGGCCCCTCACAGACCTCCTGTGGGCTGGAGACTCGACCGCCCACTGGGGACCACCGCAAACATGTCCGCCTTGGGTGGGCTCTCCCCCTTCCTCATTTCACTCTCCCCAGCCCCCTACTTCTGTTCCTTAGGACTGTTCTCAAAACCACTGTCATGCAAGCCCTTGTCTCAGGCTCTGCTTTTTGGAGGGGACAGGCTTAGACAATCCGTTTTGCCTTGATGTCCCGGCAGGACTTGGCAGGCCGTGCGGGTGCTCCCGTCTGCAAGAACCCAGTGTTGGTCTGCTCTCTTTGCATGTTTGAGGTCACTGCCATCAGCAGCTCGGTTACCCTGAGGTCCAGTTCTTGCAGGAAAGGTAGGAGAAATTCTTGTTTTTTCCTTGATTTAATCAGTTTCCAAAACGATGCCAGTTCCTGATACCCTCCCAAAGGTAATCAATGAGGTCTTTGTTTTTAAAGAATAACCAAGAGCTCATGGATTTAATATATTCAGAGTATTTCACTCAGTTGTAGGTATTATTCCTAACAATGCTCAAGTGGCCGCATCTCTGGCCAGCAGGACCTTGTTTAAGTTGGCAGGAGGGTCTGCCCACCCTGTTCTTCCCTTATTCCTAAAAGTGGATCCAGGCTGTTCAATGGAGCTTTCGAGTCAGCAAACATGGAACACACATTATGAGTTCATAACAATACTTCTAACTCAAACTTAGGGTTACGTAGTATTTAATGACTTTAGGCATCTTAAATCTGTGTCTTCTTTTTCCCGTGCTTGGGTCATCTGGGACTTGGAACATTTGAGTTTATAACAGTTTTACAGAAAAAATTGCCTTTTGAGTAGATCTTTTGAATTCTTGCCAATGTTGTGTTCAGGATATAGCCCTAGAGGTAGGATTGCTGGGTCAAAGAGTAAATGCAGCGGTAACCTGTTAGGATTTGTTAAATTCTTCTTTGGGGCGGCAGTGTTCCACATCCCCGCTGACAATGTGGGAGACGCCTGTCTCCCCACAGCCTTGACAAGCATGTGCTGCCAAATCTTTGGAGTTTTGTCAAGTGGATGTGTAAGAAAGGGCCTCTCATTGTATTTTTACCATCACTTTTCTGCTACAACTTAAACAGGGCATGTGTTTCTGTCACTGTGTCCTGCTTCGGCTGAGGGTATGTGAAGGCAGCGCGGAGGAGGCGTCAGTGGGGCGGGGCCCCGGCGCGAGAACTGCCTGATGACCCACCGCACGGGCCCCGCTGTGGCCCCCGGTCACATGGCAAGAGCGGACGTTTCTCCTGGAAGAACCGAGATGAGTGAGGGAAACTGCAGAGGTAAAGTTCTGAAAGACATAAATTCTCAGCCAAACATCACACAGTTCTCTGGGAAATAGGACACTAGCAGTGAGGCAGCAGAAAAAATAGAAGAATCAGACCCAAAGTCATCAGATAAAGATACTGTCTATCTTTAGAACACAACAGTTCAATATACTTGAAAAAGAAAAGAATGGATTGAAAATGTGATGAACAAAAGCTATAAAAATCCAGCAAATTAGAAAAACAGTACTTAGAATTGAAAATCATAAATATTAACTAAAAATGGAATGTTTAGGTGCACATTTGATACAGATACGAAAATTAATGAACTGAAACGTAGATCTAAGGAAATTATCCAGAGTGAAGCAAAGATAGGTGAGGAATGGAAAAATAAGAAAAAGCAGCTGAGAACACAGAAGAATTCTACACGTTTGGTTAGAGTTTGAGAAGAAGGAACACAGAGTGGGGCGGAGGCAAAATCTGAAGAGATGGGACCCCAGGTCCAAAAAATCCAGTGGAGAGCAAGCAGGTAGCTACACGCCCACACCTTGGCGGACCACACAACCCCAAGGACAAAATACAAATCCCCTCTGGAGCACCGACACCGACACCCAAGCTCCCCAGCCAAGCCCAGAGCCAGGCCAACAGCGGGTCGGAGGGAGATGGGCATCCTCCTGCTGCCGGCCGAGCAGGAGCCCTGGGCGCTTCTGGCGGGGATGGGGCCTCTGGAAGGGGGCCCTGCCCGTGGGCCCCGTCCCAGGCCAAGCCCAGGAGACCTGACTCATCACCCCACAGCCGGTCCAGCTGGTTCTCAGGGGCCGTGCTGCCTCAGGCCACCCCGAGCTGCTCTTCCCATGCGGCTCCATACCCCACCCCCCCGAGTGCTCCCCCTCTCCACACTGACCCTGGTGAGGGCTGCACAGCTTTGAGCCGTTCCTGCCAGGAAGGCACCACCTGGCACGTGGGTCTTCTCCAGCACTCACCGTTCCCCATCAGGTCTGCTTGTTGCAAGCAGGAACCCGGCCCCTCTCGCCAAGCTGCCCACCGTCAACAGCTCAGACCAGCACTGCACCCCATCTACTCATCCCCACCCCTCCAGGCTCCAATACTCCAGGAACCTTTCTGAAAACTGAACCTGGAAATGAAAACGCTCACAGCTTATTATTGCTCATTTTCCTATCTAATTCAACAGCACAAACAACGAGAAACCACTAAAGAAAAGTATTTACTTTATGTGTTTAAAAAGAACCTTCTTAGGATGGCACCTGCAGAGGGAGGCACGCTGGTCTCCGCATCCCATTCACCAGAAAACATGTTGTGGTCATTTTCAGAGCCTGTGGGAGTCTGCTTGCAGGTGTGGCTCTGTCCCCAATGTCACTGATGCTCCCTTCCCTTCTTGGTACTTTTAAATCCTCGAGATGCACCCTGACCAAAACAGATAGTCGGTGGTATCCTGAAACAGAAAGACAGTCTTGTACTAAAACCACTGCTTTTGCCAACAAACGGCCCCATTCACCAGCAGTCCTGTGGGCTGCCTCCTTGTTCTGGCGCTCCCCTCTCCCCTACTCTGGGGAACATTCGGGATGCTGTCTCTGCCTCTGTCCAGACCCTCTGCTCCTTGGGCCCTGGGGCAGCTGGCTGGCCAGCCTCACACCTGCTTCGTGTGGGAGGCCCGCCCAGCTGCCCATGTGTACCTGCTGGGAGGACTCAGTGGAGAAGCCTGGCTCCTGCCCAGCCCTCCAGGGCTCGGGCCTCCTATGACCCACCATCTGGATGAAGCCCCAGCCACCCACTGGCAGCCAGGACTCACTGGCCAGGCAACGGCTGAGCAACCGTGCAAGGCAGCTGAGAGACGCAGGACCTCCTGCTGGTTTGGATTCACTGATGATACTTTTCCATTTACCCAATTTCCTCCCCACAAATTAGACTTAAAATCAACTTTAACCCAACTGAAGTACAGTGAGTACCAGACAGGCAGACTCACAGGTCAGACTTAAGGGATTATGACCAAGGCTCTTCCTGTCCCAGCTTAAGCCACGTGAAGAGGCGGTGCGGCTCGGCTCTGCTGCGCTGCAGGGGTCCCAGAAGCAGACAGAGCACAAGAAACCAAGTGTCCCAGGGAGGCAGGAATAGCCAGGCCCTCCTGCTGAGGCCAGCTCTGTGGCCACAGCAGCTTCTCTCAGTGCAGCAGCATTGAGCCTGCAACGCCCCCCAAAAGCACACGTTCAGAACTTGCTTCAGGAAGATGCCAGATGCTGACCTGTGGCTGTAGACCCGCCTCTCACTGGCGGGTTCTCGGGAGGGGGCTGTGTGTTCAGAGCAGATTTCCATGGTGCCCCGTTCAGATTGCTCCCCGTCCTGCCCCAGGGAGTCTGCTGACACTTGCATAGTGGCCCCGGGTGAGTTGAGGCTGTGGAAGAACAGGGGTGGGTGGCAGCCTGGCCTGGTGTCAGCTTTGGCATCCCTGGTCTTTCCCTAGAGGTAACTCCCAAGGAAAAGACTATCTTTCCTGGAATAAATATTTTATAACTATATTTTAGAAGTTAATTAGCAGGCAACAAGGAGGACTACAAGTTCATAAGCGAATGTTTACATGATAGGTGCCATGCTTTATAAATTCATGTGTAACAATTACACTGTCTTTTGAAAACAGTATTTTTATGGTGCAACATGGTAAATACCTACCAAGTGCCAGACATCCTTCTGTGACAGTTAGTGGAAATTTATTAAAATTAACTGCATGACATTGAGAGTTTCCTCCCTAATACCAATGACTTTATCTAACAATATAGGAATTTTCTCCTTAAAATAATCCTTTGGAATGGAAGGAGTTACACTGGAGGCCTTATAAAAATGCCCATATTCCAGTAGCTTCTCTTAATTTATTTTAAACAGCAAAGTCCTAACTGGGGAAAAGTTAGCTTGAAAAAGCTTTGATCAATGTATTTTTAGCTGATTATGAAAGTTCACCTGAAAGAATCAGTTAAAAAAAAGAGAAATATGGCACAGTAAGAATTATGCCAGAGGTACCCTGGCATGCACACATGCATGCTGATGAGCGAGAGGTAGTAACCGGTTTTGTTGTCAAGTTGGTAAACATGCAGAGACGGGACAAAACCAGAGGGCTTGCAGCCAGGGACCTATTCCCAGAGGCACACATGGCACTGTGAGGTGCCACTGTCCTGCTGGGGTGGAGGCGCATGTACAGCTGGGGAAGGGTGAGCACAGAGCAAGCCCTGGGAAGAAGCCTGTTGGTACCTGTTACTCCCCCAGCAGAGACCCGGAGCCAGGATCTCCCCTGCCTGCCTCCCTTTGGACCACCCCCTATTGGTTTAACCCCTTTTGGTGAGTAACTCCCGACTTGCCAGGGTTTCTACTGCCTGCAGCTAAATGTGGCATTAAGTGACACAGATGTTTGTCATTAAGTGACAAGGGACCAACACCTTAAACTTCACACACTCAGGGGGCTTCTCTAAATTCAAGGCTGCATCTGGCAGTGTAGGGCCACTCACCGCCCACCTACCCTCTGCTTTTCCTGGGTTTGTCGAACCGATAATCTGCAGGGTAGAGGTGCCGTCGCACCAGGTGATCCTTCCTGTCCCGGCTGGTCTTGAACTTGTCTGGGCAGCCTTCCACCAAGCACTGATACTGAGAAGGGAATGATGTCACCTCCATCCCGACCCTCACGCCAGGGCGAGGAAGGTGCCCCCTGCCGAGCCGCGAACCCCCCCCTCCCCCCGGGAGCTGGGAGCGCGCCGAAGTCTCCGCGCTGCCTGCATTTGGTCACCTACCATGTCCTGTCTCTCGGACAGGACTTGGAACAGCGAGTCGTGCCACTCCAGGATGTGGGTGTCCAGCAGGTGTCCCGACGGGAAGGTCCGCTTACAAAAGGAACAGACGTTCCTGTGCAGTGTGTGGTAGTGGTGCTCATAGTCCTCCAGGGCATCGAACACCTGGCAGCAGCCGGCCACCTGGCAGGTGAACTCGGGCACTCTGCAAGGGAAACCGGCCCTGCGGAGAGGCGCGCGGCGCGCCGGCCACCGCCTCTCGCAACCCGACACAGCGCCCGCGCTCCCCGCTTTCCTTTGCAACCCGAATCCTCCGGTTCTAGGAACTGAACTTTCACACACCAGCTGGGCCGCGGCGGCCGGCCAGGGCTTGGGCGGGGGTCCGGGCAGAGGGCGCGGGGCAGCTCACCTGGGCCTCTCCGGGGCCGCGGCCACCTGCGTGAGCACGTCCTGGAGGTAAAGGTGCCGCTGCACGTCCCCGTCCTGCAGGACACGCGCGCCATGGGCGGGGCCGGCCCTGGCAGCCCCGCCCCGAGGCCCCGCCCCCGCCGCGGCCTCTCCCTCCCTCCGCTCACGCACCTCGAAGAGCTCGTGGTCTCGCGGGAAACGCACCAGGCGCGCCGCGAACCGGAAGGGCGCGGCCCCGGCCGCGGGGTCCCTCGCCACGGGCAGCGGCTCGGCCGCCCTGGGTGCCCCCGTCAGGCGGGAGTGCAGTGCGGGCGGCAGCTGCATCGCCCTGAGCGCCCGCCGCCCCGCAGCCTGTCGGGCCCCATCCGCTCGCCGGCCGGGGCGGGGCCGGACGTGACGTCGCGCTTCTTCCGGCGCCGTCGCGGGCCGCGCTCAGGGCTTCGCGGGCTTGGGCGCGCGCGCAGCGCCTGCGGTGAGTCCGGGCGGCGGGGGCGGCGGGCCGGGGCCTGAGCCTGGAGGGCGGCGCGGCCTTTCTGCGCTCCCCTCCGTTTTTCCGCGCTGCGCCACCGGCTCTGGGCCCACCCCGCTCGGGCTCAGGCCGGAGAGCGCCGGCGTTGCTGAGACCCAGAGCTGCGCGACCCCGGCCGCGGCCCGTGCGGGGAAGAGCCTGTGCCCCGGGGCAGAGCTGACCTTTGCGTTGCCCCGGCGGCGGTTCAGGTCCGAAAGTGGGACGTCCGGTGTCCCTTCCAAGCCCGGGTAGTCGAGGCTTCCTCCGGGGAGGGGCTCGCACCCTCCTCCCGTGCTCATTGGCAGCGCCCTGGCCCGCACCGCCTGTGCCTCCCGCCTGCAGAGCGGCAGCGGCCTCGGGACATTCTTGTCTCCAGACCAGTCACCAAACCTGAGCCGAAGTGGTCTTTGGACTATTCGTGTTTTACGGAAACCCGCCTTTGTTTAAAGCCCGGGGGTGGTTTCCTGTGGCCCCTCGTCTGTCGGCCCCGCACAGCACGCCTACTTCCCCACTTCACTCCACCCCCTCAGCTGCTGAGATGGACAGTACACCGCGCCAGGCACCCACGGTGCAGCGGTGAAGAGGTGAGAGGACGTCCCTGGCACCCTGCAGCCTGCAGCCTACAGGGGGCACAGACGTCCCACCGGTGGGACGGGTACATAACTAGAATGGTGCTGCCTGACCCCTCGGGCACAAGGGTGCTGGAGGCCAGCTGTGGGGTCGCTCACACACGGGCCTCCCCACTGCGCCTCCAGAATATTTCAGTATTGTGCTGGACGCGTGCGTACGGGCAACGGCTAGGAAAAGGGGATACTGTTTCTTTAAAAAATTAAAAATGTAATTTAAAACTTTGCATCACTTCACTGTGAACGTGAAGGTTTGTGGTTACGTAGCCAGTCATTTTTGTATAGAAGCAGAGCTCTGCACAGATCAGCTCTGTTTCTCATCTCACACTGTTCCGTCTCTGACAAGACACTGAAGGTACGATATTTTGCGAATTTTACAATAATGTGTTCCAAGCGAATTTGTACATCATCTTTGAGCCCTCAGCACTCACTCGCTTCCTAACTTGTTCATGGGGGGATGTGAAGCGGGTGCCAGAGCCTCCTCCCGCCTGGTGGCTCATACTCCGGGGAGGAGGTGAGCCCTGAGAAGTCTGTGTCTGTCCATTTCTGGTGACTAATAGAGGGGCGCGGGGGCATCACAAAGGTGAAGGGAGCTGTCGCAGGAAATGTTCCTCACAGTTGTCTTTAGTGGGGATGCAGTTGGCAGCTTTGGCCAGATGCTCATGTCAATGTTTAGCTTTGTGACCTCCTGCCCACTGTGTGCCGAGAGCTCCCTTCCAGTGACTGTGACAGCCCGAAGTCACCGCGGCACGTTTCCAGAGGTCCTGCTGGGAAGAGCCAGAGTTCTCGGCGGTGGTGGTTTCCAAGCCCACAAAGAACTGCAGGCTCTTGTATTGATGCCTGCGATGGGGGGACGTCTATGCTTTTATTTCTGCCACACGTGAAAGGTTTTGCAATCATAGTCTGTAAATACTCAGGATCTTTCTTCAGAAGAGCTCTCCACCTGCTTATGTCTGGTGGGGGGTGTTTTATTTTGCTGGTAGGTACCCCGCCACCTAGCCTCCCCAGGTGATCCTCAGTGCAGCCATGACAGGGCAGCCATGGTCCTTGGGAAACCTCACAGAACGTGGGTAAAGCTGGCTGCCCTTGGACTTGAAGGTTGGCAGTGGGGAAGTTCCGTGTTGTGTCTCCTGGTTGTTCGTGGTGCCTCTCCAGGGCCCTCTGAGTAGTCACGTAATGGGTAGTGTAGGAGGCTGTCAGTGTTCGGACACAGATCCACTCACTGTTCCTTTTGTAGAACCAGCCGTTTCTCTGGTAACAAGTCCAAAGGTGGTGGGCCACATCCAGTGACAGCCACAACGCTTGTTCCTGTCTTTCTGACCATTGGGCCCTTTGGCGTTTTGTAAGAACAAGCATATCTGACTTCCACAGCAGCTCTGGGGGGAGGACTGACCACTCACCTCTTTTTAGAAGGTTAGAGAGGGGGGACTGCTTGCACAGGCCCCCGCAGCCCAGTGTGGCCCAGTCAGGGTGCGTACTGGCTGGGATCCACGTGGGCTTGCTGGGGCACCTCCCCATGTGTGCACCGTCTCGTGCTTCCTGTCCTGCTTTTATCTTGGGCAGTACCCAGCTCTGGCCAGGATTTGATGTCTGTGTGCAGTTAAGTGTCACGATGTTTATGTGCAGAGCACCTGTTTTTTACTGTGCAGGAGTACGGTCTCACCTCAGTGAAGAGGTACATGTTAATATTCTGTAGTTAATTAGCACATTTGGGCTTATGTACGGCCTTCACTGCATGTTTGGTCTTCATTTGCGGCCTGTTTTCACTGGAGCTGATAGCACAGGTTAACCTTTTTTGGGTCACAGAGCCTTTGAGAATCTGTTGAAAGACCTCAGAAAATTCACAGAAGTGATTTTGCCTGATTTTCACGCTCTTGTGTAGGTATGTAAATGTTTCTGTGACGTGGTAAAGTTTCCTTGTGGTTACTTTTTGAATCTGCAGCTAATGGCCTATGTCTAACTCCCTTCCCGCTGGTACCCATGATGGTAACGGCTGGCAGGGCTACTCGTCAGCAGATGAGGCATCTCCGTGCAGGCTTCACCATTCCCTTGGTGGGCTCTCCATCACGGTTTTGACCTCAGAGGGGTATCTCATCTAATGGTGAAACCCTAGGACATCTGGTCAGTAGGGCTGGTAGAGCTGATGTGCAGCCCCAGCCCAATGCATGGGAGACAGGCAGCTGTCTTACCAAAACCGTCTCCACGGGCAGCCTGGCCTGGGCAGGAAGAGGGATGCCCTCAGTGCCAGAGTTCAGAAAGCACATAAACTGGGTGTGAGTACCCAGCAGCTGAGCCGTGGCAGGGGTGAGGACCAGGTGTGGCCTCACAGTGGGAGTGGTGTGCTGGGCCCAGGCAGCGCCCGCGTGGATCCAGAAGCCCCAGGGGCCAGGACTGCTGTATCCCCACAGGCAGGACTGGCCGCTCCCTGCTGCCCAGGGCCACGGGTAGGAAGCCACTGGAGAAAGGAGGGCACAGGTCTGCAGGATCACACCCAGTCTGCACTCACTGCTCTGTGAACTGAGAACTGAGCCTGGAAACTGGCCCGAAAGGGAGACTCAGCAGTTGCCCAAAGGGAGAGTGCCCCAACATGAGCCCCTAGTCAGAAGTGACACCCCTCCAGCGAGCACCACCTGAAGGGCCTGGGAACCAACCAGATGGCCAGAGGCTGTGGCGTCTGAGCGGGTGTGTGGGCCGGGCTAGGCGTCGCCGTGAGTTGGCTTCTCAGAGACCTGACGGCAGAATCTGATCACTTCTACTCTTTTTTATTTTTACAGTTTTGTTTTTCTAAAGAGCTTCCTCTTAGCTTTGGGAAGCTATACTGTGATGTTGTAGAGCTGAAACTATGAGTGAGTTTCGGATCCACCACGATGTCAATGAGCTGCTTAGCTTGCTGCGTGTCCATGGAGGGGACGGGGCTGAGGTCTACATTGACCTGCTGCAGAAGAACAGGACCCCGTACGTCACAACCACTGTGTCTGCACACAGTGCCAAGGTGAGCGCCCTGTGCCCATGTGCTGAGCACAGGGCAAGGTGGGCTTCCCCCTGGGCTTCCTCCGCACAGAGCTCACCACCCGACCCGGTGGCCACAGCAGTGCCGTGCTGACGGCAGACACTTATGAAATGCTTCACACGGGCCAAGTGTGGTCAGCTCAGTCCTCTGTTGACTTGTCAGAGGCCCCACCCCCCTTGCACAGATGAGTAAGTGGGGGCTGTCAGCCCGCCCTGAGGACCTCCCTGTGTCCCGTGAGGAGGGAGACTGCTGTTTCTCTGATTAATATTCATTTCATGGCACAGATACTCTTCTGGATGGAAAAGGAGGCTCCTGGTATCAACCACGTGGAAATCTCTTGAAAGTAGAAATTTTTTCTTGTGGGGGGGACTTGGTGAAGGGGGGACCCTAGTAAACATAATGTTCTTCATGTAATTGTAGATGAATGATTAAAAAAAGTAGAAATTTTCCTTTATTCATATGCTATGTAATTCAAAATTACAGATATTTAGTAGAAGATAGTTTTGAAATCTGTCTTTGAAAATATGAAGTTTCAATTATTTAAACAGCCTAATAATGGCACAGGGTAATTAGAAAAACTCACGGAGCAGTTAGAGAGTTCTGGAGCACACAGTCAGCTCTTCATAAGAGGAGCATTAAAAGAGAACACACCGCAGAGCCTGTGCATGAGCGGCCCAGGGCGTGGCGTCCCTGGTGCGGCGGAGCGGGCCGCTGGTGGAGCACGGGGAGGCCGGTGGGAGAGGGTGGGCCCGGCAGCATTCTCATGCCCTTTCTCCGCTTAATTTCAGAGATGCAGTTAGGTAGCCTACCTGGTTGCACTATTTTTGTTTAGTGTTGAATTTTCTGGAGGGTTAAAGTCCTTAATTATTGTTGCTAAATCACTCATGTTTATGCTTTTGAGGTTAAAATAGCAGAATTTTCTCGTACTCCAGAAGACTTTCTAAAGAAATATGATGAGCTGAAATCTAAAAACACAAGAAATCTTGATCCACTGGTGTACCTGCTGTCAAAGCTCACAGAAGACAGAGAGGTGAGCAGAGGCGAGCTCCAGCCCGGGTTGGAAGGAAGGCGGGTTGAGGCGCGTTCTGACCACGTCATAGGAGCATAAGATTTGCTCAGCCGGGGCAGCAACTCGGTGTGCAATCCCCAGTGCTGCTTTCTGCCATTTGCCACATTGTGCTGACCTGTGGCACCCACCATGGGTCCCCTCCCTGCCTCAC